CAAAATGGCGCCAAGGTGGCACCAAGATGGCGTCAATATGGCTTCAAGATGGTGCCAAGGTGGCACCAATATGGCATCATGATGGCTCCAAGATGTCTCCAATATGGCGCCAAGGTGGCGCCAAGATGGCGTCAATATGGCACCAAGATGGCCCCAAGGTGACATCATGGTGGCACCAAGGTGATGTCAAGATGGCGCCAAGATGGCAGCATGATGGCACCAAGATGGTGCCAAGATAGCTCCAAGGTGGCACTAATGTGGCACCCAGATGGCTCCATGGTGGCACCAAGGTGGCACCAAGGTGGCTTCAAGATGGCACCAAGATGGCAGCAAGATGACGTCATGGGGGCATCAAAATGGCGCCAAGATGGCACCAAGATGGGGTCAAGATGGTGCCAATATGGCTTCAAGATGGCGCCAATATGGTGCCAAGATGGCTCCAAGGTAGCTCCAAGGTGTCACCAAGATGGCACCATGATGGCACCAAGGTGGCACCATGATGGCACCAAGGTGTCACCAAGATGGCACCAAAGTGGCTCCAACATCATGGTGGCCCCAAAATGGCACCAACATGGCACCAAGATGCCTTCAAGGTGGCACCAAGATGATGTCAAGATGGCGCCAAGATGGCTGCATGGTGGCACCAAGATGGCTTCAAAATGGCACCAAGATGGCTTCAAGATGGCGCCAAGATGACATCATGGTGGCACCAAAATGGCGCCAACATGGCACCAACATGGTACCAAGATGGCTCCAAGGTGGCACCAAGATGGTGCCAAGGTGGCGCCAAGATGGCTTCAAGAGGGCGCCAAGATGACATCATGGTGGCACCAAAATGGCGCCAACGTGGCACCAAGATGGCACCGAGATGGTACCAAGATGCCTCCAAGGTGTCTCCAAGGTGGCACCAAGGTGACATCATGGTGGCACCAAGATGATGTCAAGATGGCACGAAGATGGCTGCATGGTGGCACCAAAATGGCGCCAACATGGCATCAATATGGCTTCAAGATGGTGCCAAGATGGCGCATAGGTGTCTCCAAGGTCACACCATGGTGGCACCGAGGGGACACCGAGGGGACATTAGGGTGGCACCAAGGTGGCTCCATGGTGGCACCAAGATGTCACCAAGATGGTGCCAAGATGGCACCATGATGGCTCCAAGATGGCTCCAAGATGGCGCCAAGGTGACTCCAAGGTGACATCATGGTGGTACCAATATGACTCCAAGGTGGCACCAAGATGACATCAAGGTGGTACCAAGGTGGCACCAAGATGGCACCAAGATGGTGGCGAGATGACATCATGGAAGCACCAAGATGGCTCCAAGGTGACATCATGGTGGCACCAAGATGGCTCCAAGGTGGCCAAAGGATGGATTTGATCCAGGAGGGGACAAATGGGGACAAGTCCCACCCTGCCACGGCCCTGAAGCTTCTCAGGACCCACCCAGGTGGGACACCCAAACCCTCTGGAGATGTTTGCCAGGGGGCCACCTCCATCCCTTGGGGACAGATGGGGACAAATCCCACCCTGGACATCCCAAGATCCTGGAACCCTCTCAGGTCAACCAAGACCCACCCAGGTGGGCCTCCAAAACCCCCTGGAGATGTCGGCCATGGGGCCACCTCCATCCCTTGGGGACAGATGGGGACAAAGGGGGACAAATCCCACCCTGGACATCCCAAAACCCGCCCAGGTCACCCAAGGTCCACCAAGGTGGGACACCCAAAACCCTCTGGAGATGTCAGCCATGGGGCCACCTCCACCCCTTGGGGACAGCTGGGGACAAACCCTCCCGAGATGCCACCAGAGCTGACCCGAGAGGCGCGAGACGGCGTCGGCGGCGAAGACGGCGGTGGCCTCGTGGCGCGTGTCCACCACGCGGATGCCGATCTTCTCGCAGGCCACCAGCACGGGCGAGATGTGGCCACCGGGCAGCGTGAAGATGAACTGGACGCCGTGGGCCCGCAGGACCTCGGCCACCAGCTCGCCACCGTGACGGGGACTCGTCGTGTCCACCTGGGCCACCACGGGGCCACCAGGAGGTCAGAGGTGACAGTGGTGTCACCTATCC